CTTTTCAGCAGGAAAATCAAGTTTTGAAGCGATCGCCTCCGTGGTGAATGATGAGCCACCATCATTTGATAAGTTGGTAGAATTCGAGTGTTGGCCAGAAGATGTTTTTTTTCTTAACGAATTGAAGAAATCGTTCCGATTTTGAACCTGAAAGGGGAGTTTCTTCGGACTCAAAGCACCGCCAGTTCCTTCAACTTTACCTTTTGGGTTCATAATTCCTTTTAGAGGTTGGGTTGAGGCAGGAGGAATGATGGTTGGAGTGGTTGGTACTCTGCTGACATTTCTTGGTTTAGTGTTATCCTTGTCAGGAGATAAACTATTTTTTTCCCTATTTAGGACTTGAAAATTTCCAGGTTGAAATATCTTATAGACGTCAGATCTAATGGCAGGGCGTACAGCATGAACTATTAGTTGGGATGAGGACTGCTGCCCGGCCTTGGAAGCACTGACCTCTGTAGTTCTCAACATCTTTGCCTTAGATTTTTCGGCTGAGCTAAGACCCTGAAAATATTCATGAAATTTTGAAAACTTTCGGCACCTTATGATTTACCAGTATTTCCATTGCTGCAATATTTGAATCTAAATTGCAAAAAAAGCAAGAAGCATGAAGAAAAAAAATCAGTAAACGGTGCATCATAAAAGAGTGATGCATATCTGCCAGACTGCTACACCAAGTATGATTTGTTGATTTTTTTACCTTTTTTTGTGTATGTTCAATCGCTTGAAAGAATGTTTTCTTAAACAGTGTTGAAGTACTATTTAGACTGACTACCAAATCACTTCAGATTTCTGTTGAATTATCCAGAATAGCATGAATTAGAAAAATTACAGAAATTGTTTGCAGAAAACGCAAACAAACAACCAAAAATATTCCGAGGTGTCAAAAGTGCTAGGTTGTCTACAAATGCTATTCGTATGAAATGTGTAACACTTTGATTTGAAAATGCCGTTCATTACAACTGATTCTTGAATGTAAAAAGATACAAATCTAAAAAATTTGCATTCATTAGGAATGCAATTCATCTGTATTTCTATATAATTAGTAAGTCATTATAGTTGGGAGATCCAACCCTCTGTTTCCTAATTACAGGGTATCAATCCTTTATTCACTCGAGTTGGACATGCCATTTACATTCCTGCAATTGACCGGTGCTAGAGGCCTAAACATGTTAAAGACCACATCCCAACACAATCGTTCCTGATTTTGAGAATGAGACCTGAGCAGGATGAAGGAAAAAAGCTTCCTCGTGCAAAAAAAGAGTGCACATAGGCAATAAATATCAAATAAACAATCCAGGAAGAAACTCAAACCTTAACTTAAAGCTTCTTAAAGCCAGTGAATATGGTCATGGTCTCCCATGTGAGGATACCCAGCTCCCCACTCTCCAGCAACAAACGACAAATCATCCTAAGGTCCTCTACGCCAAGGAGCAGCGCGCAAGCCCTCTACAACATTTTAAGCCCCACCTCTATTCAAGGATCGTTGCAAGAAAGGAATCCAATTCAACAAATTAGAGGACTCCCAAGACCTAAACACAAATTAGTCTAGTCTACAACTTGAAGAAAAAAAGGTGGAGCATTAATCGCTCCTCCCTGCACCAAAAAAATCTAACTTAATCAGGGCCTCATTTTCCAACAAACCGAAGAGTAGGTTATGCACTTTGAAAACATTTAAAAAAAAAAAAGACGAACACTTTGACAAAACTGGCCTTGTGTATATCCATTGTTCCCTCTTGTAAAAACCTAAAACATGGTGAGCAAAATGAAAGCTTCAGAAAATGTTTATAGCTATGACAATGACCCATTTGACAATGTTAACAGTGATGCTGGCCTAACCCCCAATCCCCAATGGACTCAAAGATGCAGGTCAAACTACAATGAGCGAGCTCAAGGAAGACCGATGTCAAATCCTCAGCAATGCTTTTTTTCCAAATGGAAAGTATGAGAGTTTTTCCTATTATGCGAGCATAAATACTGATCCATCTTGGTAACAATTAAAGTGGATATCAACCAGCTCACCATTAATCCCAAAGCTAAGACTATCAAGCATCTACCGAGAAGAATTCATCGTGATATGAAGCGAAAGCACACAATGGAGTCCAATAAACTTATTGAAGTTGTTTTCATTTGAGAGGAAAAATACAACCAATTAGACAGCAACCATCAACCCTTAAAAAAAAGAATATTAGGTTTGCATTTGCATCGACTTTTAGGATTCTCAAGACAAACTGCCTCAAATAAAACTTCCCCTTAACAATGGCTGACTATGAATCATCCCATAATATGTTCTTATTCATAGATGGGGTCATCTAGTTACTATCAATATTGATACCACCAAAGGATCAAAAGAACTCATCCTTCTGTAATTGAATTGGTTAACATTGGATCATAGCCTTTAGCCTAATAATGCAAATGTAACCTACCAAAGAGCCAATGACTTAAATTGTTGAGATTTATACACACAAAAAAGTTGAATGCCATATTCCCAAGTTATCAAAAGCCAGACGACTCTGAACAGCTAGATGAACTCAAAACACATATTTGCCAAGCTAAGAGAACATGACATCAAGAAAGATCTCAAATATGCCTTTAAAGTCTCATCCGTCAAATTCTCTAACTTCATGGCATGTTATTAATGTATTGAGATTGATACCTCAAAAATAAAAAAAAAATATAGATAATGACAACTCTAAGAAATAAACGCAACTCCATTATTTCTAAGACATTGTCTATCTGCAAAGGTTCATATGAAATCTAACAAAGGTCAACCTTCCGTTAGGCTCATGAATAAGGGAGCCTCATTTGTTTGGGATGCAGCTGTCGGCGCTTAAAAGGGGGAAAAAGTTTAAATGTTTGGGGGTCGCCCGTAAGAAGCTGTCGGCAGCCGGAATCGAAATCCCGTCACCCGCTTCGGAAGGACTTTTTAATTTACGTATATATATATAATTTTAGAAAAATATGAAATCAAACTGACCTCATATTTTTCACAGTTTAAATGAAAGGGCACTCTACCTCAAATCCTGTATCTATCCCGAGGGATAAACACAAGACTTGAGGATGAGGCTCGATCAAATAAACTAAGAAAGATATGACGTCCGTTTGGTCTGCGAAACCGTTTTATTTGCCGACAAGTTCCCCTATTTAATACAGAAGAATTAAATAGGGTTTATTTTAAGCTGGGTTCGGAAAAGCTTCCTATAAGGGCAAGCCCCTATAGTTAATTACATCTTAAATGACCGAAGTCACCTAAGAAAAACTCTCGATAAAAATCAGGGGATAATGTCTTCAAAGAGGTCAAAAGGATAGGACTTTTCAACGAAATCGGACGAAGAGGTGTGAAAGGGGAAAGACTCTAATCTGGAACATTGTTGAGGAATCCAAATGAAGAGAAACTAGGGGAGGTCACAGATCCTGAGGAGAACCTCAGTGACTTCCCAGTCTATCCTATGGTTTGACTCCAATTTTTAGGAAGAAAATATTAAAGTGTTTTATCCTGCCAATTTTATTTAATTAGGTCTTATATTTGCGTGACAGGGTCACTCAAATTGCCTAGAAGATATGAGGGTTTACGTCGTATCGGACGACAACCTCGGAACCTAGAACGAGTTAGGGCTCAGAACGTACGGCAGAGCTATACGAATGCCTAAAGAAAAA